CAAGCATTAAACTTGAAGTCACACTGCTGGAACTACTCCCAGAGGCATCCCCACAACGGTACTCTTCAATACTCCAGAGACAAAAGGGTATTTCACTGATACATTTCTGGGTTTGCTGCCTGTGAACAGGAGCAAGTAAGTGAGGCAAACCAAGCTGCATCCCTTCCAGAGGACACCGCAGAAGCAGTAGAAAATATTCTAATAGACCCCGTTATGTTAGCCAAGCCTTCAACCAGTTCCACCGACCCTTATTTGCAGGCACCATTAAGGGTAGACAGAGCAGTAGACTGGGGTAACAGAAACATCATGCAAATAATTTCATTGAATGTCATCAGCATGACTCATGGGAGAAGACCAGGTTGGCAAAATTGGGTTCACTGTCTCTCCTGGGAGGTAAAGCTACTGGGAACCTTCAGGTTTGAACCCTTAGTTTTCCGTGTTTTTGGCATACTCACTAGACCTGAATTCCCTTCTTATTTATAGTGGTATGGCATTTAGGGTCCAGTCTCTAATCTCAGTGAAGTCAGTGACACTACTGTGGATTTATACCAATGGAAAATGAAATCACTACCTGGCTCTGTGCAATGCCCTTGGCACCAGTGACCTGATTTCTGGTACCATTGTCTTAAATGAAATATTTTCTATTGTCTCAGTCCCTGCTGGCACTACTACAGAAACAGTTGACTCCTTTGCTATACTTTGACCTATTTTTATGGGTGCCACATGACTGCAGCCCATTTATCTCCAAGCTGCAAGTATTCAATTGCTTCTCCTTGCTCCCACCTTTTTGTTGCTTTAGCCCACAGCTGTATTGACATTGAACTGTCAAGGCCCACCCATTCTACACTGTTGCTTATTAGGGGTATTGTGCTAAGCTACTCAAATTAATCTTTCAATTGATTTCAGTAGGCTTTGGATCAGACTCTGGATGCTTTCCTCTTTCATTTCAGTGTCCATTGGCCCCTCTTTTTTCCCCAGCTGCTGAGTTCAGGATTTACTGACAAGCTCTACTTGTTTGAAGGCTACTTTATGGCTTGTTGCAGCTAATGGGATATGCCACACATTGTGTGGCTGGTGAAGGTCCCTGCCCAAACTTCCGAGTTACTCTGCATCTACATATGACAGATGAAATCTTTTTCTCTTACTTTTATCTTCACTTGTTGTTCCTCCTGTTATATATATATTTTTCTTTTTCTGAAGTCACTCTAATCTAACATGTTTTTCTGCTAGGGAGTGATATTTCTTTACCTGTTTGATATTAATTCTCCTCTGCCCCTGTGGATTATGGCCTTGGCGTACATGTCCCACCAACCATGCATGCTGCCACTCGGCTCTGTTTGCCCTCCCATGTGGAGTGGCCTGTAAACAATACCATTTATTATCATTCAGTCAAAAATATGTTAGTTCCAGGCTCAGAAATAAAAAGTAAAAAAATGTCTAAAGACAGAAATGGAGAGTACTGAAATGCTCCCTAGACACTTAATAATATTAAAACCTTGAACTTATATAACAATTTTCCTCTGAGGATTTTAAAGCTTCTCACAACATTAATAATTACAATACCCCTGTAAAGCTCAGATTGCCATTCTTGTTTTACAGATAAGGATACTGAGAAAGAATACAACTACAACATATTCAAGGTCTCAGAAATTTAGAGGCAGGACTGTGAGTAGAATCCACAGGGTTAGGAACATAGAAAGTCACTATCTTTCCTAAATGCCATTTGAAATAGGCCCATTCTCCATGGAATTTTCCTTCTGTCTGCTGAAGAAGAAAACTTGACCCATGAAAAATAATGGCAAAAAATGACCATTAAATTAATAACATTTCATCAATTAATACATCTTCAAATTCATTCAAAACACTGCATTCCAATGAGCTTTCATGACAAGAGATATTTGAAAAGTGCATATTTGTTCTTATTAATATTATTATTTAGGACAAAAGATGACTTGACACAAAAGACTGAAGACCTGAAAGCACCCATTTTAATTAATTGAGTTTACTTGTAAATTCTTAGAAAGGTAATTCTATGCCCAAAATGCCATAATTAGGGAGCACACAGTATATTCTTCATTCCTTTCACATTCATGTAATCAGCCAACCCTAACTCTGAAACCATGACTTCAATGTTTCTGCAGTAATATATATATATTGGATTGTAAGCTCTTGGGGGAACAAGGACTGTTTAAAAATTATACACACAGGGTGCTTAAAACAAGGAGGATGTGATTCCTGATCAATCTCTCTAAAAATTACTGCAATATAGTAACTATTGCTCAAATATTTGGATGCCATCCTAAAATCATCATGAATTTTGCCATTGACTTTAAAGAGATCATATTCCACTTTAGAACAACAGGCTCATTTAGTATGCAAGCCTTTTAACTTCTGTGTTTGTTCTTTAAGTGCTTATTGGCTCTGGGAATGTTTTTTTAGAAGCACAGGTACAAAGCTCAAGTCGCATACTTCTTTCCTGATGAGCATGAATATTTCTAGTTTGAAACAGGCAAAAGCTCAGCTTCTGTGTACGCTCCAGATGTATGTGCCCTGAGGATAATTAAGCTCTGGTATGGAGCTTTGGAGCCGATGAGAAAACACTCAGACTACATTACTCATCACTCAGATTACATAGGTGTGCGGAAATGATGCCTTAGGAAGTGCTGTGGTAATGGCCCAGATATCATTACTCATCTGGAAGGACATCAAGTGATTCTATGTAGATAGCGAACATGCAGATAGCAAAAAGTAAAACTGAACAACAAACCAAAACGGAGATTAACAACCCTCCCAGAAAACTCTGACATTGCTGTGAACTAATCCCTGCACTTCCACATCTAGGTCCAGACCCTGTGAATACTTCTACATGGGAGTGGCCCAGTAGCATATAGACATTTGGGACTAGTCCTATGTTCACTATTAGCCTGGTGTAAATGTGTTTGGAGGATAGGGAGTAAATGACACGGTTGTGTCATTCCTGTCCCTTTAGCAGCATTCACATTTGAGTAGATTTCCAAGCCCTTTTTTGATGATAAATGTTACAATTTCAATTACATCCTTCACCACTGTAAAAATGACTGCAGTGCCCTGGGTGACTTCCTGGATAAGTGGGGGACATCAGTCTTGTTGTGGACAAACAGCAGGAAAAAATAAACATCCCTCAGCTTTGGGAAAGTCCTAATTCTTTCAATGAAACCAACTGAATGGAAAGTCAGTCCTAATACTGAACCAAGAGGGGCTGGCATTGCCCCAGGCTTAACGCTGCATAATTCATAAATGGGAACTCATGATCCTGTACAAAGATGTGAAGAAATTAACTGTCCAATAAGTGGGTGGATTAATCAATGCCCCCCCCACGCCCTTACACTGGAAACCATCCCTGAACAGGCTATCTTTCTCGGGGTGGTTTTTCTGTCTGAGAGAAACTGGTGTCAGTCTAGGAAACATATCAATACATGTAAATGAACACAGGTAAATCCATATGTAAATAAATATGTAAATACATATCAACACATGTAAACAAATGTGTAAATACACATGTAAACAAATACATGCATAAATAAAAATTGATACAGGTGACTAACTAAACATGTGTAAATTCATATGTAAATGATACATATACGGATACCTATGTAGATGTTCATCCATGCATGTAAATGAGCACATGTAAATAGGTATGAAAATAAAATATGTAAATGCACGTTATGTGTAAATGAACATACGTGAATACATATGTAGATGCCTATCCATGCATGTAAATGAATGGATCAACACATGTAAATAAACACACATAAATGCATATGTAAATAAATATACACAAAAAACTAGAACCCTTGGTTCCAAAATGATACCTTTTATTAGACCAGCTGGAAAATGGCAAGAAAACTGTCCTTTTCTGCAAGCTTGTGTATTTATGTACATAAATACATATGTAGATGCACGTGAACACACGTAAATGAGCATATGCAGATGCACATGTAACTGGTGTAGGTGCACATCAATGCACGTAAATAAATACATACGTAGCTGCACATCAACACACATAAATCAACACATGTGAATACACCTGTAGATAAATACATGTGCAGGTGCCCATCAGAGCATGTGTGAATGCACATCTACATGACCACATACATAGGTGTGCATCAACACCTGTAAATGAACACATATAAGTGTGTCTGTAAATAAGTACACACCTAGATGCACATTCACACTCACAAATGGGCATATGAAGATGCATTTGTAAAAGATGCAGATGTAAATGGGCATATGACGATGCACGTGTAAACAAACACATGCAAAAGTTGCACGTGTAAATGGGCATATGAAGATGCGCCTGTTAATTAACACATGCAAAAGAGGCAGCTATAAATGGGCGTGTGAAGATGCACATGTAAACGAACACGTGCAAAAGATGCAGATGTAAATGGGCATATGAAGATGCTCTTGTTAATTAACACATGCAAAAGATGCAGATGTAAATGGGCATATGAAGATGCACCTGTAAATGAACACATGCAAAAGTTGCACGTGTAAACGGGCAGAGGAAGATGCGCCTGTAAATGCACACGCGCGTAGGTGAGCATCAAGTCCTGCCAGTGAGCACCCGTGAACG